ACTTAACAGAAGAAAATTTCCTGAAATAAAAAATAGAATACTTTCCTGAAATAAATGAAGACCCTGGTCTATCAATCAGAAGAGCTAAGGTGTAAAAGGCAAGTAAAAGTCAATAAAGAATCATCAAGACCAAGAAATACTTGAGTGAAGATACTAAATTTCTCCCACAAAGAGAAAAGTAAACATCAGGTCAGCCTCAGAGTTCTCGGAAACATTTGATGCCAGAAGATAAAGAAACACAAAGGGGGTCAAGAGATTTCTTTACTTAACTGAGACATCATTCACATAAAGGCAACAGGATGGTATTCTCAATATGCAAGTCTCTAGGAATTATAGTTTTAAAAAAATCAACTTGAAGACCTACTTCAGCCAATGAAAGACAAATCAATACAAAGAACTTTCTAAGGTTTTAAAATTTTTATTTAAGTTTATTTATTTGAGAGAGAGAACACAAGTGGGGGAGAACGGCAGAGAGGGACAGAGAATCGCAAGCAGGCTCCATGCTTAGAGGCAGGGCTCAATTTCACCAACCGTGAGATCATGACCTGAGCCAAAATCAAGAGTCAAATGCTTAACCAACTGAGCTACCCAGGCAACACAACAACTTTCTGATGGAGAAGCTGTGGTATAAAGATTGCAGTAAGCATTTAACCCAGTGACACATTGAGTTTAAACAACTGTGGTAACTACCACTATAAAACAGACTCTAATTTAAAATTTTGAAAGGCCCTGCAATGTAAAAATAAGAATTTTCTGACTGTAGTAGACCAAGACAAAGAAGTATCCTGCTTTTGCTTGTAAGATCGGTAACTGGAGAAGTAAAGGGCTATTAATACCATTTAGATATTTAACAGAACTAAAGGCAGTATACTCTGTTGCTTCCAAAATACCCAGCAGACCACAGAAACCAGAAAAAAAAATTGTTTTAAAGGCTGTACAATAAGAGATTGAAAATAAAAGAAACACAAAAAAGAAAAGAAAAAAAAACCTACAAAGAAGATAAAGATACGTATAACAATGACCAAAAATCAATCCATTCATTTAAAAAAAAAAAAAAAAGAATAAAGATTTGGATTGATTTTAAAAAGTCAAACTATATGCTTTGAAGGAGTGTCTAACACAGGGCCACCTGAGTGGCTCAGTCAGTTAAGCATTCAACTCTTGATTTCAGCTCAGGTCATGTTCTTGCAGTTTGTGAGTTCCAGACCCGCACTGGGGTCTACGCGGACAGTGCGAAGACTGCTTGGGATTCTCTCTCTCTCCTTTCTCTCTGTCCCTCCCCCACTTGCTCTCTCTTTCTCTCTCTCAAAATAAATAAATAAACTTAACAAAAAAAGATGTCTAATACAAAGGAACTCAAAAGAGCTGTAAGTCAAAAGATACATTAAAATACATAGGGCAAATGTAAGCACAAAGAAAATAGGAGTTTTGGTAATAGCAGAGCTGAGTTCAGGGGGAAAGTATTAAATGAGACAAAGAGGGAATACTTTGTCATAAAACTTCAAATTATATAAAAGATAAATGTCATGAACTGTTAGACGTCAAATGACAGCATTAAAATAAAGCAAAATCTTCAGGAAATACAAGAACTACTTCTTTTAACCATTGACAGATCAAGTAGATAAGGACAGGAAGACATGAATAAAATGATTATTTGACCTCTCTATTGGTCCCGCTTCAGCTGCACAGAACAGAATCCTCTCTAGCCAGTTCAGCTAAAAGGAATTCATTATAGGGTATTACATGGTTCACACCAGTGGTTCCTAAATTGTGGTGGTCCAGGCAGCATCAACATCACTTGGAAATTTGTTAGAGTGCAGATTTCCAGTCCTATCCCAGACCTATTGAATCAGAAACTCTGGGATGGGGCCAGCACTTTGCGTCTTCACAAAGCCCTTCAGATTACGAGGAGGCACCCACAAATCACAAAGCTCCTGCCACAGCTGATGGCTCCATGAATTGCCTCTGCAATGATCAGAAAGTGACCTAACTGAACAGGAAAGACCCTTCTCTGGCTCCCAGATCCAGAATCATACCACTGCCACAATCTGAACCAATAATATGTATTGCCTCCTAGCCTGGCTCTCTCCTCTCTAAACTGAAGTTCAAATTTGAGTTCTTCAAGAGCACATTTAATTGGCAAGACCTAAATCATATTCAAAATCTTGGATGGAAAAAAATTCCAGGAAGTGAAATTTCTAGCTTTCCAGGCTCTCAGTGGAGGTTTTTCCTTCTCTCATGTCCCACTTACCCCATAGTAGAAAGTGGGATCAGCGTCTTGTCAATTCGTCTCCAATGCCACTTCTAGACGAAGAGTTCTCCCTGTCTTGTAAAAACTGTTCTTGAAGCTCAGAACATTCAGCTAAACCATTGCTACTCACTTGCTGTCTCACAATGGACCCTGTCATCACACAAAACCTTTTAACCTCCAAAATCACAAAGACATCCCACTATCTGATCACAACCTCCCATCTTTATAGCCAGACTGCTCAACTACAATCTATATCTATTCTCCAACCATATCAAGTCACTATCTATTGATCTCTCCAATTTCTCCCTGTGTTGGCCACATCCTATCTAGCTTAGATTCCTTTATTTGAATCAGATTCTTGTTGATATTGTGAAGTTCCTTTCTTATCTTTTTGCTCTGCAAAATTGGCAAAATTTAAGCCCTGGATGAACCAACCATCCTTCTTTTCCATGTGTGCATCTAAGGTGCCGAGTGCTACCACTTACACGTTCTCTCTAGTCAGCCCCCACATTACCTCTCCCCCAATATCTGATGCCCTGGTTCTCAGCAGGTATTTTGTCTCTGATTCCCAAAACAAAACCCAGAAAGTCACTATGTGGGAAATACTTCAATGTCTGGTCAAGAAGCCTACTCTCTCCATCTGAACCCTTTATCTACTTTCTAAGCCCAACCTTCCACCTGTGTTCTAGTTCCATCACCCTACCTCCTAGGGACACTGGAATTGTTTATCATTTTCCTTTCCATTGGCTATTGTCCAGTTGGTTGCTTCCTTCCTTCATTTATTTATAAAGATTTTATTTTTAAGTAATCTCTACACCCAACATGGGGCTCAAACTCACAACCCTGAAAACAAGAGTCGCATGCCCC